GTCAAGGCAAGGGATCTCCTTGTCTTTCCCCTCCTCTATTGTGGATTACATTCAATTCCTTCTGAAGTATGTTTACGTTAAGGTATAGGATGACAATGGGTGTCGCCTATGCAAAGCATCGGAAATTTTGATTGGTAGAAATGGAGGGCCCAAACTTAAAGTTCCGCCAAAACCTCTCGGCGGATTTAGGAGGGCCTGCAGGGGTTCACCAGATTGGCTCGTTAACTTGGCCGTTAGACGTGAAGCAGGTGTTTAATTAGTGGCCTAACAGCTTCATTATGTGTCCCCCTTGAACCTGCATTCTTTCCTCATCATACCTTTCCCGCGGCAGGTCACAGACGACTCTCAAGAGCAATTCTTCAGGGATAGAGGTGGACACAAATGACACGATTATTATGTCAGAGGCTACAGTGACAACTCTGGGGTTTTCGAAAAAATGTACTGGTTAGGCGGTCTGCAGGAAGGTGTGCCTTTCTGCTTTCATCCGGCCAAGTATAGCCCTGTCCCACAACAGCACAACGCACATGACACAGATGGTTCACAGACTGTATCTTTCTGATGGGTTATAAGTGCTCAATCGAGCCCACCCTCATCAGTGTCCCGCCACCCTTTCCCTGCAGGTGGAGTACTTATTTATAGAGGAATGAACGCATGCCGATCTATAGGCTTCCCGGTTCAGATATATATGATAGGGAGAGGGGGGGCACTCGGCGATGGCGATACGAAGATATGTAGAGATCGGGTCTTCTACTTCTTCTTTACAATATTTTCATGTCATTGTGCCTTGGGGCTCGATCTCTAGCATAGCCAGCAGTCGCACAGCGGCTACTATTATCGGCAGAAGAACATGAACAACAAAGGCAAGGGAGAGTGGAATGACCATTTCTGGTTTAGCAGCCGTCATCAGCTAGCCATACGCAGCCTCCTGATGCTCCAATGGACAACCTGTTGGTTAGGAGTTCAAAGTCCTAAGCAGAGAGCTAAGGACTCGTCGTCTTCTCGATTTCGATTGGTTAGATTAACAATAATGGAAGAAATACGGGACATACTCTTCCCGCTGTGTTCTGGGGCCTAATGTAGAGCCCTAACATGTGGTTTCCCTGTGGCTTGTAATATATGGAAGAAAACCGACAAGGAAACAAGGAATGGCTGTTTTGAATGTTTATTTCTGACCGATGAGCGCCCTTCTATAATAAGATACCAGATCGGAACCGACAAGACAACGAGCCCGTTGTCCAATGGTTAGGGCATTGGAATTACTAAGGCTCAAAAACCAAATGGAAGCGGACTCGAACCTCTGGTGTCCACAAACCTGGGGTTGGATAGGACTGACTGACGACGGCCAAAAAAAGAAAAATTACTAGCCGCGTCTCCCGGGACTCCCGTTAACATTATTCCTTGCTGTTGTGCGAGGACTCTACGTTGAGTCCCGAGATACAACGGGGTGGACGGATCCTATGACCCAAATTTAACGCTCAGCTAGGACAAACACTTTCTCCATACAATTTTGTCTTGGCACGCGAAGTTCCAATTATCGTATTTGAAAAGTAGGCTAGGGCAGTATTCAGATGATTGTTTTGATTGGTCCAGCAGCTGATGTGGGGATAAAAGTGATTGGAATTTAAGATCAATCTACCGCCCCCCCCCCTATAGTTCAGTCGCATG